AATGTAGAAGGGTATACAGATGCTGATTGGGCAGGTTCAGCCACAGATAGGCGTTCGACATCTGGGTATTTTATGTTTGTGGGTGGCAATCTTGTTACGTGGAGGAGCAAGAAACAAAAGGTGGTGTCTAGATCTAGTGCTGAGGCCGAGTATCGGGGAATGGCCCATGGTGTATCTGAGTTACTATGGTTGAGAAGATTGTTGAAAGACCTTGGTTTTGGGCCTAATAAACCCATGGAGTTATATTGTGACAATACGGCTGCGATTGCAATTGCTCATAATCCTGTACAACATGACTGTACAAAGCATGTGGAGGTTGATTGAAATTTCATTAAGGAAAAGTTGGATGCACAGATTGTGTCCTTCCCCTTCATCCGTTCAGAGTATCAGTTAGCTGATGTTCTTACGAAAGCTGTTTCTACAAGTATCTTTCTCAACTCGCTTGACAAGTTGGGCATGCGTGACATCTTTGCTCCAACTTGAGGGGGAGTGTTGGCGAGTCCTAGTCCTATTCTATTTGGGTTTTATTTATTTTACCTTTTGTGTAGATATTATGTAATTAGGATTCCACTTATTTCCTAATTAAACCCTACTAGGGTTTGTAACCTGTATTATAAATACCTCCTTTCGGAGAATGAAATATATCTGAAAATATTCTACCATATTGTTTGACTCTTTTTTGTGCCTTAATTCATTCTTACACATATTTGATTTGATATTATTATTATTATTAAATAGGGGAGAACATGGATTTCAAATTGAAGATAAATGTAACTTGTATGGTATCATTGTTAGCATATGTAGGAATCCTATGACATAATAGATTACATTTTGTCATCTTGTGAAACACAAAGACCAAACCCCTCACCTTGTCTCACGGAACACTTAGTTCAAGAAAGTCTTTCTTTCTTGTCTTATGTAGTCCTTGTTTCATGGGGGACTTTGGTATTCTTGTCTTATGGAGTCCGTGTCTTGTTGTATAATTATTGTAAGCAATTAGTTGTATAAATGAATTAGAAGAAATAGAAAGAAAAAACAAGTTGAAACCAAAAAAGGTTGTGCAACTCTCATTCTCTCTACACTCTCCACTCTCTCCTCTTAATCTTCTCTATATTTTCCCAAATCTGACAAACATATCATCCAAAAACATTAATATAAAATAAATTCTTTTATTTTTTCTTCTTCTTCTTCTTGTTCTTTTTGACATTACAAGTAAAAATAATTGGAAAAAAACTACAAAATCAAAAACAAATGTTGTCCTTGGTTTGCTTGCGACCATATAATTATCATCCCACCAAACATACGTGGTAAATGAGGAGGAGCCCATGCTACATGGTTGAAAACAGAAATAATTGCATAAATATCTTTCTTTATGTTTTTTCTTGGCTAACCACTTTTCAATGACCCATATATCATATTACTAACGGACACATTATATTTCATGAGTAATTCCTAGAATCCTAAGCAGATAGATATAGACCAAGAGGAACTTGCCAAAACCAAAGTGCACTTGGTTTGTTTTTTTGTTTGGAATGGGTCAGTATTGCCATGAGTGATGGTTTGGAAAAACCAATAAATCCAACATAAAGAAGGCTGCCATTTCACTAAATCAAAAGCAAGCAGGCATCACATGCGGTGTTTTTAATTTCTATCAATGCTACATGCCAAAGTGAAAGAAATATATGAGAGATGTATATGATTCACATGTGACACCCAATCACAATCATGCTACAGTAACAAGACGCAAGGCACCTCAATAATTATATATTCAACCCGCACCCACCCTCTACTTCCCCACTGCCTCCAGATCAAAACTCTCTCTCTCTTCCTCTCTTCAGCAAGCACAAAACTGAAACCAAGTCTCCTCCTCCTTACCCCTTTGCAAATTCCACACAGCACCTCAAAACTCTCAACCATCATGCCTATCGATCAACTTGAGGTACATAATTTTTACATTAATTTCAATACATGAATTTTTCTTCTTTCATTTTTGACATTTCTTGCTACTAAAAGGAATATTGATGTTGTATTTTGCAGATGAAGGCCATGAAAGAGAAAGAAAAAGAAGAGGCATGGTATTGTGGGTTAGCAGAAAGTTGGAATGGGAGGAATCGGTAAAAAGAGGTATAATTTTTTTTACATCTCTCGTTTGTTGCTTTGTGATATTACACTTTTCGAATGTGTTTTTATCCATTTTAGCCTAAATTATGTTTGAAACTCAGATATTATTGTAAAGACAGTGGTGGAGCCCACATAAAGAAAAGAAGAAAATATTCAAAAGGCAAATGATGATGTTGAGTAATGAAGACTTTGGAGACCATAGGAAGCCATCCAATTTGCCTATAAATATGCTTACTCATTCAGTTGTAGAACACATCAATCCAAAGAGAAAATATAAAGAGAGAAATTTGAGAGTGTGAGAGCTTTATCTTAGAAGACTTTTATCAAAGAGAGAAAGTTCTGTCAGTGTAAAAACCACAAGAGTAAATAGAACTCTACTCCCAATATTCAGTGATACTTTTCATACTCCGATTATTATTTTATAACTGTTATAAAATAAAATAATTAGAGTATGGAATTACCACTGAAAAATGATAGTGGAATTATATCTTTTCTTGTGGCGTTTGCACAGATATGGGCTCCACTATTTACTATTTACTATTTACAACAATAACATATATATATATATCATAAAGAAATAAATCTAAAAACTCCCAAACTTGAAAACTCAATAAATTATATATATACTAAAATGTTGTAAATAGTAAATAGTGGAGCCCACATCTTGATATTCAGCATTGCAATCATCCTTGGATTGTTGTAAACAGTGGAGCCCACATGGTTGAAAATATGAAGCAAAGTTCACTGTACGCTCACGGAATTAGGCAGAAGTACACTGTACAATGCACTGTACACTCACGAGAAAACTTCAGAAGCGCCTATAAATAGGCTTGTTCGTTCATCTGTAATGTACACCAACAGAAGAGAGAAGAAAGAAAAGGAGAGAGAAATTTGAGTATTAGTGAGTGAGTTTCTATTTGAGAGGAAATTTAATCTGTGCAAACGCCACAAGAAAAGATATAATTCCACTATCATTTTTCAGTGGTAATTCCATACTCTAATTATTTTATTTTATAACACGTTATCAGCACGATAGTCTCTCCACTTTTAAATTTTCTCAGCTCAACACTATGTGGTTATTTCTCTTTCTCCTCTCCGTCATATGTCTCCTCTCACTCTACTACTACGACGACATGCAAACTTTCTTTTTTGTGTTCTCACAATTTTTGTGTTGCTTCATCCATGTTTGCTTAATTTATTTCTTTGTAATATAATTTGGAATGGCGCGGTTTTATACCCCATTCTATTGTTTTATAGTGGTGTAATTTTCATTACCCATCACGTTGTAACACAAATTATCATAATAAAATGATGGTGTGATCTTAAAACCCATCTATTATATAGTGGTGCAGTTATATTGCCCACAAAATATAATATGTACTTCCTATATTCTTAGTGGTGGATTTATCGCCACACTTATTTTATTTACTGTATGGTGTAAGTTTATTACCCATACGGCAGTATTTATTTAAAGTGTGGAGCGGGTTTATCGTCCACACAACTGCCTTTTATTTCTTTTATTTAAAAGTATGGAGCAGGATTAGTGCCCATACAAGCACGTTTACTTTACCGCACACTTACTTTTATTTAAAGTATGGTGCGGGATTAACGTTCATACAGCAAGCAATTTACTTTACCGCACATTTACTTT